TACAAATACAAATTAAACAATTGAATATTTCTTTAACATTTTTGCTTTGATAATTTTTTTAAAGGAATTAATTGATCCACTGCTTTTATAATCATTTTCCAGATTATTCAATAGTGTTTTACAGCAGCCAGCTCACTTTGTCATACCAGGACAGCTGAAAAGACCTGTTATTTCCCCACTGGGATCAATAAAAAGTTTTTTTTAATCTTACTTTCCCCACCTTTTGCACCAAATTAATCTGAGGAGTTGATCAGCYCTGCTGTTTAAGTTGTTCTTTATAAAATAGACTGTATCAAATGGCTTTGCCAAAATCCGCTCAACAACATTCAAACTGTCTGCCATTATGTGCAGCTTGTTACTGGTGCAAGGCTAGTGTGAAGGGTGTGCGTTGTCTGTGAGTGCTTTATGATGGTGAAGGAGCTCAGCAGCACCCGCTGCACAGAAGAAGTCAGAAAGAATAATGTAAGTCCGTCTCCAAACACAAGCAGATACAAAACAACCACCAGAAATAGAGGTTTGATTTGTTGCTAGTCGTTTTTAACAAAGAAAATGCCGCTAAAAGGATTAATAAAGTCTCCAGTTCAGCTCAGAACAGAATGAAACTAAAACCTGCTCCCATGCAYGTTTACACCAAGAGATCKCTGATTCGCTCATTTCTCTGTCAATCAAAAAGGGATTCAGCCTCCGACAGATCATCCAATCATCATGCAGATGCTGGGCGTCCGACCCAGCCCMCTGCCCCATAGACCCCCAGAGACGCTCAGCGTCCGATRGGCGGGAAAAAGCCAGCATTTATCCAATGACTCGTCTCGTTTCACTGCAGTCTTTGCATCACTAATGAGCTTTGTAGACGCTCAGCGACCRACTGTTTAAAGCACTGCGAAGCTGCAGGAAGAGTGAAATGAGGAAATGAGGAAAGCCGCGTCGTTACCAGTGTGTTAAGAAGCTGATTCTGAACAAAAGTTGAGCGTGCTGTAGCACTTAGTTAGTCAATGACATGTACACACAACTGTATATATTTTATCTTTTTTTATTATTTACATTTTAGGGGAAGCTGAGCTTCCGTTGCAGTCTTAGAGAAATCGCCTCTGCCCCAGAACCACTAGTGCATGCTTTGTTTTTAACTGATTGGAGCAGGAAGTGGTGAAATATCCAGCATCTTCATAGATATAGTATCTCACAAAAGTGAGTACACTCCTGGCTTTGGTTGCCAGAGGTTTAGACATTAATGGCTGTGTGTTGAGTTATTTTGRCRCTATCATTCAGGCTGTACACTGATTAATTTACATTGTATCAAAGTGTCATATCTTCAGTGTCGTCCCAGTGACAGCTGCAGCAGTCTGCCTCGCTCTGCTGGAAGAAAACCTGAAACACAAGAAGGGAAGCGGGGAAGTCTGGAACAGGCTGGAATCCTGACAAATAGAAAAAATTTAGACTTTGAGCTTTTTTTTTTTTCTTTTTATAGGTAGCACCAGCAAGAAAGAGAAACCCACTCTAACTAGAACTGCGGAGCGGTTATGACCTATGAATGCTATGAAAACAACCAGATAACCAGATTGCTTCTAGCCTCACGCAATGGCATAGCAATCATCTCAGAAGTGAGGGGGACAAATTTTTTAGAGGTCTGTTCAGTGATTTATCATCCTCTCTCATTATACCACACCTCTCCTTAGTGGCTAAAACACATCAAACCACTAAAAGCCACAGTACAGCTCCACTGACTGATTTTAGTTCTTTAAACTATTTAATAACAAAATCTAAAGTTTTAGCTGCCAAAAGTCGCCAGATCATTAAGTGCCAAATTGAAAACACCATTACTGTAAGCAAATTATTACTTAGCTCARTGTTGGCTCATAAGMCAAATAATGGCATAAACATAGAGAGTGACACAACACTAAACACATCAACATTTTAGTCAAATGTGACTACAAAGATGTGCAAAACTAATTAAAATAAAGAAAATTGGTATGACCCATACCTGCTGTCATTAAGAACACAAATAATGCAGTTGTCAAGTAATGTCTGAAAATAAATAAGTTATAAACAAAATGTCTAAAAACATTGTAGAAACTATCTTTAAATATTCGCGTCAGGTTTTGCTTTGGAATTAAGACAATCACTCATCTTTTTAATAACAAAGTAATATTATCAGTTCTAGATTTATTTTTGGCCCAAAGTAGAAATAATAATAAAATAAAATAAATATTTTGGAGAGAAGAGTACTTCTGAAATATCTGTGGGGGAAAAAAACCCTGTCCTGATACCTGTCTGGTTTCTCCCAGCAATTCTCCAAGTCAACAGGATGTGATCCAGTCATGTGATTTAACCTCCATCTTTGTGTGTGGGGTTAATTCTCTGAGACTCTGTTACAAATTRTGTCAAAAGTAGAGACTTCAAACTATACACCAGTTTTTAAAGACTTTCCACTTCAAGAATAATAGTCATAATTTCTCCTTACCTGAGAAAAGGCTGCATTATGATCACTGCTGCTGTATCTGGTCTCCTCCCTGATTTTGCTCTTTGTAATGTGGCAATAAAGATTTATTTAAACTTATATAGCACCTTATCAAGTCCACATGGACCTTAAGACACATTACACTTCAGGCATTCACCCATACACACACTGATGGTGGGTGGTAAGCTACAGCCACAGCTGCCCTGGGGCACACTGACAGAGTGTAACTGTAGAATAAAAATAATTGAGGCAGAAATGGGCGTGGCCTATACTCTTTGACTCAGTTGGGTCCAGGGATTATGTTACTTAAAGTCAAAAAATATTGTGACGTATGGTTTAGAAGCTAGAGGACCAGACGCAAAGACACTGTTTAAACCCCTATAGGTTGACATGTCTGATTATTTTTCTCCTCCGTCCTCATAATTTTTTTAACCACCATGGTAAAATCTTTTCTGTAGTCCTTTACGGTTTGGGCTGCAGTATGAGTTTTTTTTCCAACAGAAGAATAAATAAATAAATAAATAAATAAATAAATAAATAAATAAATAAATAAATAAATAAATAAATAAATAAATAAATAAATAAATAAATAAATAAATAAATAAATCAGATACAAAGATACAATAAAGCTCCTTGCTCTGCTGGAGGCATGGAAACATTGCCGCTTTGCAGTTATGTTCCCCTGTTCCGTGGGCTTGGACCCCTAATAAAAAACAGCAAGATTTAAGAGGACAGAAGAAGGAAGAAGATCACAACCTGTCTCTCCATCCATGTGTTCTGCATTTTCTTTTTACTTTCTCTCCTTTTCCTATCAGACACAAAGCTTCCCTCTTGTCCTTGTGGACCAATCAGAAACACATGGAGGACACTTTAATATGAGACAGAAAGAGTTCCCAGTTTCATGTTTACCAACGGGGACAGTTAAAGCAATGTGTTTTGTGAGGCTTCACTGATTTAAGTATGGCTCCTGCAGCACACTTTACTAATTTTATAGGTCAGAGGAAACAAAAAAGTTGATTTGAGACATAATGATTTTGATGGAGGAAAGTATGTAAAATACAAATGGAGGTTAGTTATAGCCGAGGTATGTACTGTATACATAGAGAGAGTAGAAGAGGTTAAGATTAGACAGTTTATATAAGCTATTATATTTGAAATARTTGAAACATTGTTTGTCGACAACAGATTGTTCCTCAGCAGGGAGTTTGTGTCCCAGCTTTTTTTAACATCTCCTCCTCGTCCAGATGTTGGTGTGCTCAGTGGACAGGGTTGACTGTGATGTGGTGACACCAAGAAAATTTAACTTCACTGCCATTTTACTCATCTGTCACAGTGAAATGAGTCATTCCTGAGTTTGATCTGCAGCAAATTTAAAATGTTTATCCTCACTGTTACYCACTTTTCGACTCAATCTGTTTTGTTTTTTTGTTTTATTAGTAATCGTAAACAAGGTCGGAGSATTTTATTCAGTCAGTTACAATAAAAAGTAAACTAACAACGTTAATTGAAATCAACTGGAGTCTATTTTTTGTTTTTGCGTTTTGCTTCTCTTTATCCTCCATAACTTCCCAGATTAAAGCATTTTAGGAAATTGTCCTGAAATGATTGTTAATGAACGTCAAAAAAAATATTAATAATGTTTTATCAGTTTTATTATTTGTAAGAATTCCTTTTTTTAATTCCTTTTTTTATTTCCACCTCAGAAACTCTGTATACATTATGTCCTCTGATCCCATCAGCACTGATGTCACTTTAAGTGCTGACATTTATCTTCTTCTCACTGTATTAGCACTGGAGGACACTGACACAGTTTTATTTTTATTTAATTTTGTTTCTGTTTTTTTCTGTTAATCTCTAACATTTGTTCTTTTTATCTGACTGTTTGCCGTTCAGGACCTGGACATCCTTCAGATGCAGCTGGAGGAGGTACGCTTCTTTGATCTGTTTGGTTACAGTGAGGAGGAGGGCAGCTGGCTCTGCTTCATGTGTAACAACCCTGAAAAGGCCACAGGTAAACACACACAAACACACACACAGAAAGAAAGAATGAAACAAATTAATATATCAGCTTTATGTGACCCATCATATCGAAATGAGGATTAAGTCAAATTTGGTCAAAATGACCTCATCACATTTTCAGATTATTGACTTTAAAAGCTACATTTTAATGCCTGGATCATTCTGATATCATAAACGGAACCAGAGATATGTCTTAATTTGTCTTGTTGTTTACGATAATACATTAATATTTGGTCTGAATCCTTATTTTATGTCATTTTTATGAGGATTGTTGTTTTGTTTTTTTTTTATTATGAAGAGGACATCTCACATAGTTGTTGTATATTAACATTTCCCAGCTGGAAAGAAACAAAAACTTTGCCAGCTCACAGAGAAAATCTCAAAATTTAAAGGCATTTTTCCTCAAAATCAGTTTTTTTTTGCTACTGCTCAAAAACATGCTTCAAATTTTTTTATGATTATATTTCACACAGTTCATTCAAATGAAACATTGATAAGGCATTCATTTGATATATTTTTACGAAATGCAATTTTTGTAAGTGTTTTAATAAAAAACACTAGATTTGCCTATTTCTCTATACACAACTTTTAAACTTAATCCTCATTCTGATGTGATGGGTCACATGAGTCAACGTTCTCTTTCATGTGTAGAACAGAGCAACAATATGTGGGATTTTGATAGATTCATTTATATTTCTTTTCATATACAAAGAGTCGCMTGTTTTTTTTTCTTCTTTAAACATRGCATATGCTTAAACTGAGAAAACTGCAAACTCACCAAAATATATCCAGATGTAAGAAGTTGTGTGCATACATAAATCCAAGCTTATCAGTGTGCATTGCCAATGCAATGCACACTATTCTGATTCGTTTCCCATCCAAGTCATCTCAACTTTGCCATGCTTCTCCTCCTGCATACTTTGTCCTAGAGCTGCCATTGTAATTTATATCTGTAAAGCYCCTGTGCCAAATGATGGCTATGCCTTTTGGTGCCTGTAAAACTTATAGTTTATGAAATATTGATGTTTAATAAATTATAATGGCAGTCAATGGAGACTTGTATTGGTCCAATACTGCCCCCTGCTGCATTTACACAATATGGTACTGCACCATAGTTTCATAATACAGTATTTAAACTCAGTACTTCAGTGATTACAATATTAATATGATTGTATTTTAATGTTTTACTGTAATACTGTCTTTATGTTGTCCTATTGCTGTAATATATTGCACTTAAGTGTCAATAATTGCATTGGCAAGGTAAACTTTTTCTGTATACATACGATCCAATCCCTGGGATTGTCCTCTGTCACATCTCCTATAGTCTCATGATGAGCACTGTGGGCTTTCATGCGGGAGATAAGGGCTCAAATCCAGCTACTGCTACTTTAAAAACTTCAAACTTCATATTGTCACATAATTACCTTAATTACAAACACCTGCTGACGTGACAGGCACAAGCTGGTATAGAAAACACGTTTGAACTTGGTCAAAGTTCATTCTGCAAGTCCAGTGCTGCAGGCAAAGCCATGCTGCAATGACATGCTACGTGGCAATGCACACTTGTTTTTACATCGTAAAAACCCATGTCTAGTTCTTTTTGTCTTCACCTCAGTCGACGTTTAATTGGAAACACGCGTCAACCCCTTCAGATGTTTACTTGTGTCTTGACTCTCAAAAATCTGTAATTTTCACAAGAAAAATCTGTATTACTCATGTAATACACACAGTGGGGAAGGTACAGGTGTCTGTTGTCTATTAATTTTTTTTTGTAGTTTAGCTCCAAGAAAAAGACCAAAATATTAAGCTAACGAACTACAGAGGAAGTAATAACAGATAAAGATGAGTGAGACTGACTTCTAAGAAAGAAGTAAAACGTTTCTAACGAGTAGCTTGAAACCATTCATGACTTCATGCTCTGATGTTTGACGGCAGCTAATAAGAAGCCAGGAGGCAGGAAGCTGTTTGTCGGAGGAAAGGGATGTGCTGCAGTTAAAGACTCCCTCCAGTGAAAGGTTTAAAGTTTGAACTATCTCAACATGGTGGCTTTTATCTGTCGCATCAGAGGTAATCCTGCTTACAGTTTAGTACAAGAACTGGTTCAGTGTTAATGTTCAAAAATTACCGATACAGTCATGGGGAAAGTATATTTTGTGGGTATAACTTGGTCAGTTTTCAAATACAGAGCTAAAATTCAGTGGTAGCTGACAATCATCTCTAACAAACATAAAACTGTTCCCCCAATGAAAAAGACAGTGTTGTGACAACAAGGGAGAAATATTAAAATGTCTTTTCAGGGGCTCAGTAGAGAGTTTATGTTTGCCTGAAAGTTGCAGTAAATTACAATAAATTACCATGCCACTGAAATAGATATAATAACCTGCAGTTTCTTCACTAAATGCTGCTGCTCACTGTTGACAGATTTAACAGACATGTGCAGACAGTTACAATAAACCATCTGCCAACATTTCATTTCCTAACTGGTTGTGTTGCAGTGCAGGATAAGAAAAAGTTTATTGTTGTTTTTCTTCCTTATTATTTTGTTCACTGACTAGTCATGCAATAGGAAAACTCCCTAGTTGGGACGTAAAACATCTTCAGCTACTATAGAAGTCAAGTTGCTTTGTTTTTAATAGATTTCTTTTCAATTAGTCACGCATCATTCACAGGACTGTGGTCTCTGTCGAAATGACTGGGTGCCATGTTCAAAACTAAAGGGAGGCAAGTTAAAAAAAAGATTGACGACATTCGTTGTTCATTTTTATCTTTACGGGGATCATCTTTTTCTTTTTAGAATATAGGTAATGTTTTATTTCGTATAATGTAAGTTTCAAAGCCAACAGGCTTAAATAAAATCCTCTAAATGACAGAAAAACACCCAAAATTCTAATAAATAAATAAATAATTAAATAAATAAAGGCTGTTGTTGCTCAGTTTTGCCCCTTTTGAGTAACGAAAACTTAAAATTCATGGCTTTAACCTTGTAATTTAAAGATGTAAGCATTTTAGACTGCACCACAAGGCATTAGTTTCAATATGATTTTCAKTTAAGAGCCCTAAGAATACTCTAATGGTGAGAGATGACTAAGGCTAAAGATGTCAATTTTGGTAAAACTTTTAAAATACCGTGATGTGCGACATCATGTGATAATAATGTAAGATCCTGTGTGCTCAGAATGTGTGTTGTGAATGACTCTCAGATAAAACCACATCAAATTTTTAATTTTAACGTGTTCTGATACATCTTAATAATCCAGGTAAAAAAATAAAAATTGAGTAGTTTAAGTATCTGGGGATCTTGTTCACGAATGGGGGAAGAACGGAGCGGGAGATCGACAGGCGGATTGGCGCAGCGTCTGCTGTAA